ACATTTCTTCGAATTTCATGTTGAGTTCCTCACATCTCAGTCGTTTCTTGTGATCTCCCATCCTTCCTTCCTCAACCTGATTACCTAGTCCTTGACTGCTGTTTTCCTCCTCATGTGCCTGTACAACAGTTTTAGGTCAGATTTGACTTTCGCTGCTATGTCGTTTTCGTATTGTCTTTGGGCCTCCCTTCTTACCTTTGCATATTCATTTCTTCCTCTGCGACTGCTCTCCTTATTCTACTGGGTCCTTTGCCTTCAATACTTCTTCCATTCTCTAGCACACTTGGTTGTGGCCTCTATACCTATGGGTGAACCAAGGGCTCATTCTGGCTTTTCATTATTTCTGTTACCCTTGGGTACAAATATCTCCTCAGTATTATTGCATATTGTTTTCACATATTCCATCATCTCATGTACTGACTTTCCTGCCAGTGCTTTGTCCCACTGAACCCCGTGCAGGAAATTCTTCATGCCTGTATAGTACCATCTATTATTTGTCTCCTCGTAAGACATACCCCTTAGCTCTGGGACTAGTCTTGTTGCAACCTTTTGCACTTTCTCTTGTTTCTTTATGTGCTTGGCTAGATGTGGGCTCCAAACTGGTGCCGCATACTCCAATATTGGCCTAACGTACACAGTATACAGGGTCCTGAACGATTTCTTATTAAGATGGTGGATGCTGTTCTTAGGTTTGCTAGGCGCCCATATGCTGCAACAGTTATTTGGTTGATGTGCGCCTCAGGAGACGTGTCTGGTTTTATAATCACCCCAAGATTTTTTTTTTTCCTTGAGCGAGGTTTGTAGTCTCTGGCCTTCTAGACTGTACTCCGTGCGGTCTTCTTTGCACTTGGTCGGGATCAGGACAGGCCTGCAGCCTGTTCTGATCGCTTTGTAGTTCTGTCTGGTCCTCGTCCGATTGAATTCTTCTCATCAACTTCACATCATCTGCAAACAGGGACACTTCGGAGTCTATTACTTCCGTCATGTCGTTCACAAATACCAGAAACAGCACCGGTCCTAGGACTGACCCCTGTGGAACCCCACTTGTCACAGGCGCCCACTCTGACACCTCGCCTCGTACCACGACTCGCTGATGTCTTCCTGACAGGTATTTCTGATCCATTGTAGTGCCTTCCCTGTTATCCCTGCCTGGTCCTCTAGTTTTTGCACTAATCTCTTGTGTGGAACTGTGTCAAACTCGTTCTTACAGTCTAAGAAAATGCAGTCTACCCACCCCTCTCTCTCTTGTCTTACTGCTGTCGCCCTGTCATAGATCTCCAGTAGGTTTGTGACACAAGATTTCCCATCCCTGAAACTGTATTGGCTGTTGTTAAGCTCATTTCTTTCTAGGTGTTCCACTACGCTTCTCCTGATAATCTTCTCCATGACTTTGCATACTATACATGTCAGTGACACTGGTCTATAGTTTAGTGCTTCTGGTCTGTCTCCTTTTTTTAAAAATTGGAACTACATTTGTTGTTGCCTACATCTGCATCGCCTTTGAAGTGTCTAGGTCGCTCAGCAGCCTCTTCATTTCTTCCTCGGTTGTATGTATTGTGTCCAGCAGTTGGTGGTGTACCCCACCTCTCCGTCTTTTTGGAGTCCCTTCTGTCTCCTCTGTGAACACTTCTTTGAATCTCATGTTGAGTTCCTCACATATTTCCTCACATACTTCTTGTCTCTGTGTGTGTGTGTGTGTATGTTTGTATGTGAGTGTCTGTATATTTGTATATATATGGGGGGTTTGTGTGTGTGTAAATTTGAGGGTGGTTCCTGTTTATTTAAAATAGGCCGGTAACAGTTAGTAGGCTGTGTGCATGTGTGCATACATGCATGTGTGTCTGTGTGTGTACTCACCTATTTGTACTCACCTATTTGTGGTTGCAGGGGTCGAGTCCTAGCTCCTGGCCCCGCCTCTTCACCGGTTGCTACTAGGCCCTCTCTCTCCCCGCTCCATGAGCTTTATCAAACCTCGTCTTAAAACTGTGTATGGTTCCTGCCTCCACTACGTCATTTTCTAGGCTATTCCACTGCCTTACAACTCTATGACTGAAGAAATACTTCCTACTATCTCTCTGACTCATTTGTGTCTTCAACTTCCAATTGTGGCCTCTTGTTTCTGTGTCCCCTCCCTGGAACATCCTGTCTTTGTCCACCTTGTCTATTCCACGCAGTATTTTATATGTCGTTATCATGTCTTCCCTGACCCTCCTGTCCTCCAGTGTCGTCAGGCCGATTTCCCTTAATCTTTCTTCATAGGACATTCCCCTTAGCTCTGGAACTAACCTTGTCGCAAACCTTTGTACTTTCTCTAGTTTCTTGACGTGTTTTATCAAGTGCGGGTTCCAAACAGGTGCTGCATACTCCAGTATGGGCCTGACATACACGGTGTACAGTGTCTTGAACGATTCCTTACTAAGGTATCGGAATGCTGTTCTCAGGTTTGCCAGGCGCCCATATGCTGCAGCAGTTATCTGATTGATGTGTGCTTCCGGAGACATGCTCGGTGTTATACTCACCCCAAGATCTTTCTCCTTGAGTGAGGTTTGCAGTCTTTGGCCACCTAGCCTATACTCTGTCTGTGGTCTTCTGTGTGTGTGTGTGTGTGTGTGTGTGTGTGTGTGTGTGTGTGTGTGTTTGAGTCACTTCATGTATACACACTGTCCTTGTGTGCTTAAATTACTCCGTCAGTTCTCGAAACCTCTTAGTCCTGCTTGTGCCCTTATTTGGCAGCGATGTTAGTATATGTTTGTTCACTGTCAGTTTTGTCTGACCTAAGTGTTTGCGCATGCGCACACTAGTGTGTGTGTCGGCCTACATGTAGTGACCCAAACTTTCCTACCAAACTTTTCTTCCTTACTAAATGTTAAGTGCTCTATGTATGATATTCAGCTCTCCACAGGAGGGTTCGTGACCCCCAGCTACCAGTGCTGCAGGGCCAAACGCTGATCACACAAGATGCGACCACAAAAAGGTGATTTGTCTGGCAGAGGTGACATCAGGGATCCTGACTGTTGAGGTTGCATGATGGTTCTCATGACGGCACTCCTGGTACCCTGGTTCCCCTACAGTTTCTTCTTAATAATTATTCTATTCACATTATCTATGCTTCAAATACTGCTCAAGGTTTGCACTATGCTTTCAGGTGAAGAATTTAAACCCTTATTGTCCACACTTGTTTCAGGGAAACATCGGAGTCCCGAAAATACTGGATATTTTCCCTTTGATTTTTCTTTTTTTCCCCTCACTTATGATTGCTTTGTTATTCATTAGCTCATCTATCGTTATTCCCCTCACTCTGAGTGTTTTATTATTCACCACCTCATCTATCCTTATCTCTTATTCTCACTGGCTTAGTCACATTTATTCTATTTAAATTTGCAGTTACTGGCTTGTCGTAACACCTACACCCGATGTCTGCCTCTCTCTCTCCTGGCACTAATTCCACTTTCAAATTATTTTATATAAATTATAGTACTCGACTATCTTTTCTGATTTAGGGCAGCTTGTATTTCACTGCTCAGGGTGTTCACTGACACTGACAGCTTTCTTGATCCTTGTAATGACATTTGTGGGTCAAAACCCACCAAAGATTCACGAGCTGTTACTCCCACTTGTGTGTGTGTGTGTGTGTGTGTGTGTGTGTGTGTGTGTACGTGTACACGTCTCGCATCATAATAATATATATCTCTTTTCCACAAGTACAAGGTATACAGGCTTAGCTCACATAGTGCTAAATAGAAAGCCGCTTGTTATACAGAGCAGGGCAAATTAGGTCACTTTGGCCCCAAGATGCGACTTACACCAGTCGACTAACACCCAGGTATCCATTTTTACTGATGGGTAACACAGACAACCTGTGTCAAGAAACACGCCCAATGTTTCTACTCTCACCGGGAATCGAACCCGGACCCTCACTGTGTGTCGCAAGAGCTTTACCCACCAGGCCACGAGGCACTGTATTCTAGTCAGATAGTGTTAACGTCTTACTTTTGTTAACAATAACATGGTTTTTCAGCTTTTCACTGACATTGAGCTGTTTAATTGTTTTTTTTGATCTTTCGGAGTTGGATTCTTTCTTGTCATTTCTGATGATGAGTCATTTATAGTTATAATAAAATTATAATAAATAACCTCTACGTAAAAAAAAATATGAAGTGGTAGTGGAAGAGGAATATTCAAATGGCTCCAGGAAGAAATCAAAAATTTTTTCACAATGCCTTTTTATCCACTTCTCCGAGGCTATGGGTCCCCCAATTTTTACTAGAGGTGGACCATATATATATAATATATTATATATAATATATAATATATATATAATTAAAACAACCACTCTGAAAATAGAGAAATTCCAACGCTTCGTGACTATCTAATTATCAATTCTTGATAATGTGAGTAGCAGAAAACGACTCTGGAATTTATATATTTCAGAGCGTTTTTCGATATATACATTATATTTTATAAATTATATATATATAAACTATGAATTTCTAATATTATATTATATATATTATATTTAATAATTGTTGTGTGTTTATTGATATATATATCAAATGATTTTGCTATATAGTATAGATGTATTAATTATATTCATAAAACCGCGCTGTCCATATTGCTGCCTTCTGGTGCCAAATACCGTTTTGAGCTACCTCGAGAGGTGATGACAAAAAATGACTACTGGAACCCGGAAAAGGAAAACTCCTCCTTCAACAGTTTTCGGAGGTCACCTGAAACTGTTTTTGCAAGGTGCTAGAAACAACAGTTCTAAGCGATACACAATAAGATACACAAATCCCTCCAAACTGCCAAACCCAACCCCACTTTAAGTGCGGCATGTCTCCCATTTCCAGGACTCAAGTCCGACTACATGGAATATATATATATAATAATATAAATATATATATATATATATATATAATATATTTAATATATATATATATATATATATATATTCAAATGATGTTTGCTAGTACAGTGCAGTAGATGTATAATTAATTCAGGAAACCGCGCTGTCCACTATGCTGCCTCCCGGGCCAAATACCAGTTTTAGAGCTGCTGGAAGAGCGTGGATGTGACCTCCATGCTCTGGAACGTCTCGGAGGAAACGCCCTTCACAGTTCTTCTGGTGGAGGTCACCTGAAGACAGTGCAATGGCTTGTGGAAAAGAACGTGTCTTACCGAGCAACGAATAATGATGGTCGAACACCAGAGGACATGGCACAGCTCTACGGCCAACATCACGTCGCCTGGTGGCTCCACAAGCAGTCTCCGAACCCTGGACCAATGGAACACACGCAAACGGTGAGAAATGATGAATGTCATTGTCTAGATGGAGATAGATCAATTATTGGCTGGATTATTTAACTGCTGATTACATTATGTATCAGTTACAAAAACTTTTTTTTAATGTTTGTGAATTTCTTTAGTATTTAAGTGAAAATGAAATACGTATATACGTAAGAATTGGCTAAGAGCATATTTTCCTTGTTTTATGTGCGTGTTATTTGTGTATGTTTCCTTGTTTCTATAAGGTAAACGAAGGGGAAGAGTTAAAATTATAGGAGAATAACTCTTATATTTAAATACTGTGGAATTGATTCTGTGAGGGAAATGGGTAAGAGAGATAATGTAGATCTAAGGTTCAGAGAACCTACACGTTGATAAATTAGACACATGTGCAACTCTTGGGTATCTTTATTGAGGAAACGTTTCGCCACACAGTGGCTTCATCAGTCCATACAAAGGAGAATCTTGAAGAACAGGAGGAGAATGAGGTAATCAGTCCCTCAGCCTTGAGTCGATGTGGTCAGTCCATCAATCTTGAATAGAATACGGCATAAGTGCGGAGAAGCAGCTTATAAACCGTAGGCAGGAGAGGCGCAGCAGTCGTAGGTGGTGTCACATTTGTTCAGTGTGGAAGTAGGTCGTGCCCAAGGGTTAGGCAAGCAAGAATTCCCAAGTATTAAGATCCCAAGAAGTTGCAGTGTCTGACAGGACACTGCAACTTGGGCACGACCTACTTCCACATTGAACAAATGTGACACCACCTACGACTGCTGCGCCTCTCCTGCCTACGGTTTATAAGCTGCTTCTCCGCACTTATGCCGTATTCTATTCAAGATTGATGGACTGACCACATCGACTCAAGGTTGAGGGACTGATTACCTCATTCTCCTCCTGTTCTTCAAGATTCTCCTTTGTATGGACTGATGAAGCCACTGTGTGGTGAAACGTTTCCTCAAAGATACCCAAGAGTTGCACATGTGTCTAATTTATCAAGAGAGACAGTAAGCTTACTGGGGTATAAGGAGGATTTGAAAAAGGAATGATATTGGTAAATATTATATGTGTATTGAAACATATAAGTGAACAAAAATCAGAGATAAGAAGATATTTGGTACGTATGATGGAGAGGACGGGGAGTAAAGTAATACAGGAAACTGCAAATAGGTGCGATAAAGAAAAAATATAAACAGTGGAAGAGTGTCAACAGACAAGGTGATAAAAAATGAGGCGAATTATATAATAGACGTGAAAAAAGAGGTACGTAGAGTGTTAGAGTATTACTTTAGTGTGCAGAGATGTCAGAATTTTTGAATGGGCTCTATGAATGGTTCCATCAATGTTTTAGTGTGGAGGAGACTCCAGACAGTACACATGTCGAGTTTATGATCAGTGTGTGAATTTTATGCAACGTATACCTAGAGTATACCTGGAGAAGGTTTCGGGGGTCAACGCTCCCACGGCTCGGTCTGAAACCAGGCCTCGTGGTGGATCAGGGTCTGATCAACAGGCTGTTACTGCTCGCTGCACGCTAACTGACGTACAAACCACAGCTCAGCTGGTCAGGTACTGACTCTAGGTGCCTGTCCAGTGCCTTCCTGAAGACAGCCAGGGGTCTATTGATAATCCCCCTTATGTATGCTGGGAGGTAGCTGACCATTCTTGGGCCCCGGACACTAATTGTGTTGTCTCTCAGTGTAATCGTGGCACCGCTGCTTTTCACTGAGGGAACATACAGAAAGGATAAAAATTAAAAAATGCTATTGCATAACAGGACTAATTTGACGCGCTGTTTTGAATGTGTGAAAGGAAAGATTTGTGAAAGGATGCTGGGAAACTGATTAGCCAGACTTGAGTCTTGGAGGTGGGAGGAAATTTTATTTTCATTCATGAAACTGGGCAGAGACGTTGCAGAGGAGTTTTAGGCAGGCGAGTTTTAGGCAGGCGAGTTTTAGGCAGGCGAGTTTTAGGCAGGCGAGTTTTAGGCAGGCGAGTTTTAGGCAGGCGAGTTTTAAGACTCGCTTGCCATAGGCTCAAACCCTCACTCGCTCTGTTACTTGATATACCTTCATGTTTATCTTGTTAATTAATTTTCTGCCTTGGATTAGGTATTGTTCGAATCACTGAGCCAAAACCCAGGCTCTGTAAAAATAATTTACACACCCATATTCCACACCAGTGTGCCACCTCCTGTGCACTACACTTAATTACTATGCGCTATATTTCACAACTACGTAACGCACCTATCCGTCTCACCTAATTACCATGCATTGTGTACCACAGTATGTACCACAGCCAGGTATCACACATGTGTATCACAGTTATTTACCACATACGATCTTCCAAACTTATCTACGACACACGATGTACCACACTTATCTACGACACACGGTGTACCACACTTATCTACGACACACGATGTACCACACTTATCTACGACACACGATGTACCACACTTATCTACGACACACGATGTACTACACTTATCTACGACACACGATGTACTACACTTATCTACGACACACGGTGTACCACACTTATCTACGACACACGATGTACCACACTTATCTACGACACACGATGTACCACACTTATCTACGACACACGTTTGTACCACACTTATCTACGACACACGGTGTACCACACTTATCTACGACACACGATGTACCACACTTATCTACGACACACGATGTACCACACTTATCTACGACACACGATGTACCACACTTATCTACGACACACGGTTGTACCACACTTATCTACGACACACGTTGTACACACACTTATTTTACGACACACGGTGTACCACACTTATCTACGACACACGGTTTGTACTACACTTATCTACGACACACAGGTGTACCACACTTATCTACGACACACGGTGTACCACACTTATCTACGACACACGGTGTACCACACTTATCTACGACACACGGTGTACCACACTTATCTACGCCCACACGGTGTACCACACATTATCTACGACACACGGTTGTACCACACTTATCTACGACACACGGTGTACCACACTTATCTACGACACACGGTGTACCACACTTATCTACGACACACGGTGTACCACACTTATCTACGACACACGGTGTACCACACTTATCTACGACACACGGTGTACCACACTTATCTACGACACACGGTGTACCACACTTATCTACGACACACGGTGTACCACACTTATCTACGACACACGGTGTACCACACTTATCTACGCACAACGGTGTACCACACTTATCTACGACACACGGTGTACCACACTTATCTACGACACACGTGTGACCACACTTATCTACGGTACAACACACCGATGTACCACACTTATCTACGACACACGGTGTACCACACTTAACTATGACACACGGTGTACCACACTTATCTACGACACACGTGTACTACACTTATCTACGAACACGAAGGCACATTTAAATCTACGACACACGATGTACCACACTTATCTACGACACACGATGCACCACACTTATCTACGACACACGATGTACCACACTTATCTACGACACACGATGTACCACACCTATGTACGATACCTATCACAAATAATGTACCACTCCTTTCCTCCAAACATTATGCACCACAGAGGAGGACACCAACAAGGAATATACCAACAGGTGTGGATGACATACACACAACTGAGGAGGAGGTGAAGAAGCTACTAAGGGACCTTGATACCTCAAAGTCGATGGGACCAGACATCTCCCCGTGGGTCCGTAGAGAGGGAGCAGAAACGCTGTGTGTGCCACTAACCACAATTTTCAACACATCCCTTGAAACAGGGCAACTACCTGAAATATGGAAGACGGCAAAAGTAGCTCCCATTTTTAAAAAAGGAGACAGAAAAGAGGCACTAAACTATAGACCAGTGTCACTGACGTGTATAATATGCAAAGTCATGGCGAAGATTATCAGGGGGAGAGTGGTGGAGCACCTGGAAGGGAACAAAAGTATAAACGACAACCAGCACGGATTCATGGAAGGCAAATCCTGTGTCGCAAACCTTATGGAATTTTATGATAAATAACAGAAGACACGAGAGAGAGGGGTGGGTTGATTGCATTTTCTTGGACTGCAAGAAAGCCTTCGACATAGTTCCTCACAAGAGATTAGTGCAGAAGCTAGAGGATCAGGCGCATATAACAGGTATGGCACTGCAATGGATCAGAGAATACATGACAGGGAGGCAACAACGAGTCATGGTACATGATGAGGTATCACAGTGGGCACCTGTGACGAGCAGGGTCCCACAGGTGTCCCGTCCTAGGATCAGTACTATTTTTGGTATATGTGAATGACATGAGGGAAGGGATAGACTAAGAAGTGTCCCTGTTCACAGATGATGTGAAGTTAGTGGGGAGAATTAAATCAGACGAGGATCAGGCAGGACTTCAAAGAGACCTGGGCAGACTGGACACCTGGTCCAGCAACTGAATTCTTGAATTTAACCCCGCCAAATGCAAAGTCATGAAGATTAGGGAAGGGCAAAGAAGACCGCAGACAGAGTATAGGCTAGGTGGCAAAAGACTGCAAACCTCATTCAAGAAGAAAGATCTTGGGGTGAGTATAACACCGATCACGTCTCCGGAAGCACATATCAACCAGATAACTGCTGCAGCATATGGGCGTCTGGCAAACCTGGGAATAGAGTTCCGATACTTTTGTAAGGAATCGTTCAAGACACTGTACACCGTGTACGTCAGGCCCATACTGGAGTATGCAGCACCATTTTGGAACCCACACCGGGTAAAGCACATCAAAAAATTGGAGAAAGTGCAAAGGTTTGCGACAAGGTTAGTTCCAGAGCTAAGGGGAATGTCCTGCGAAGAAAGGTTGAGGGAAATCGGCTTGACGACACTGGAGGACAAAAGGGTTAGAGGAGACATGATAACGACATACAAAATACTGCGTGGAATAGACAAGGTGGACAGAGACAGGATGTTCCAGAGAGGGGACACAGAAACAATGGGTCACGCTTGGAAGTTGAAGACTCGGATGAGTCAGAAGGATGTTAGGAAGCATTTCTTCAGTCATAGAGTAGTCAGGAAGTGGAATAGTCTAGCAAGTGATGTAGTGGAGGCAGGAACCATACATAGCTTTAAGACGAGGTCTGATAAAGCTCATGGTGCAGGGAGAGAGAGAACCTTGTAACGTTCAGTGAAGAGGCGGGGCAGGAGCTGAGTCTCGACCCCTGCAACCACAATTAGGCGAGTACAATTGAGTACATCTATTGTCCACATACTGTGTGCCACACCTATCTGGAACACACTATGTGAATCGATCTCTGCGACCATAAAAGTGAGTACATTCCTCCCACAGACTGTCCCATCCCTATCTCCCACACAATGAAATTCATGTTTCTGCCCCACAAAATGCCACCCTTATGTACCACACTTGTACCACACCTGTTTCTCAAATACTATGATCTACACCTATCTCCCACACACTAGGTACAACACCTGTCTCACACACATTGTCCAACTCTTATTTCCAATTTAATTTGCGTCACAATTATCTCCCTCAAACACTATGTACCATAACTCTCTCTCACACTATATACCACATCTCTCTCTCACACATATGTACCTCACATATACAACACACACTATGTACCTCACCCCTCTCTCACACGCTATGTAATTCATCTTTCTCCCAAACACTATGTACCACACCTATCTCCCACACACTATGTTACACCTGTCTCTCGCACTTTATGTACCACACCTCCACCACACTGTGTAAAACACCTATTCCCACACACTGTTTACCACTCCTATATAACAAGCCTATTGCTACAATATTTTTATCAATAAATATTTCCCTTTATATGTGTTGTATGTCAGGCAGTGAGCCAGAATGAATACGAGAGGCTAGGTAATATCACCCTGGGTTGGGCCAGGAAGGGAGTCGCAGCTAACATCACGGCTCACCTTCCCTCGCGGCCATACCGTATCCACTACCAAGATATTAAAGGTTGGACAGCCCTCCATCATGCTGCCTACGCTGGCCAGGTTAGTGTTTGAAACACTATGTTATTTCCTCTTCTCTCATTCCTTGGAACATGTCTTATTAATGTCTTTTGGGTTTTCCTGTGTTATTATCTCCTCGAAGTTTATAATCTTGGGTTATCCTGAATTATTATCCAACAAAGACTATGTCATAGCGATTCAGCAAGTCGCTTCTGCATCTCATTACAACTGGATCACTGTGACATGGTCTTGCATACACTAGTGGACAAAGTGCAGATGTAATATACACGGACCTTGAGAAAGCCTTCGGCACACATAATGCGTGCTAAAAGAATAACAGGAAGAGATGGTAGATGGATCCTTAACTTCCTAACAAACAGACATAAAGAGTAATAGTATAACAGAGTAAAGTCAGAGGCGGTTACAGTGAAAAGCTATGTTCCAGAAGGCACTGTACTTGCCCCCATACTGTTCCTCATCCTCATACCTGACACAGAGATGTAATCCACAACACTGTGTCCTCCTTTGCAGATGATACCAGAATTTGCATGACTGCATCTATCGAGGACACTGTAATTCTAAAAGCGGACTTTAACCAAGTCTTTAAATGGGCATCAAAAAACAGTACGAAGTTCATCTGAAGACAAATTTCAATTACTCCGCTATGGAAAACTCTTGGAAATAAAAACTGGATCGGAATGTAAAACAAATTCCAACCTCACAATAAAGCGGTAAACTAATGTGAAGGACCTGGGAGTGGTAATGTCAAAGAATCTCATTTTCAAAGATCACAACAATGTATCTGCCACATCTGCTAGGAAAATAATAAGATGGACAATGAGAACATTCAAATTAGGGATACTAAGCCAATGATTCTCTTCAAATCGCTTGTTTTTTTCTAGGCTGGAATATTGCTGTACACTAACAGCCTCTTTCAAGGCAGGCGAAATTGCAGACCTGGAGAATATACAGAGAACTTTCACTTCACGTATAAGTGTAATAAAGCACCTAAATTACAGGAACGTAGGCGAGAAAGATACATGATAATATACAATGGAAAATTCTAAAGAGACTAGTCCCAAATCTGCACCCTGAAATCACTCCCTACAAAAGCAAAAGACTCAGCAGGCGGTGCAACATTCCCCCCCCGATGAAAAGCAGGGACGCCATGAAGACGCTTAGAGACACACAGTAAGTGTCAGGGGGGCCTAAGACTGTTCAACTGTTTCCTAGTACACATAAGTGGGATTACCAATAGGCCCCTGGCTGTCTTCAAGAGGGAGTTGGACAGACACCTAAAGTCAGTACTTGACCAGCCAGGCTGTGGTTCGTACGTCGGTTTGCATGTGGCCAGCAGCAACAACCTGGTTGATCAGTCTCTGACGCAACGCGAGGCCTAGTCGTCGACCGGGCCGGGGGATGTGCGTCGACCCTTGGAACACCCTCCAGGTATACTCGAGGTACACTCCAGGAGAAACCTAACCTGGACAGGAATTAAAGAAAAACTTTCCACAGCCTATCATCTTCAGTCTCACTGAGCATTAGGAAGGTTTCGCCAAACTTTAATATCTATAATGCGTACCTATTGGGTTCATTTTCTCACAGACTGGGATAAATAATTTCCTCTGCTGTTGTTTGCAATGCTAGAAATGGTGCAAGAATCAACAAGGTACACACCTTTTGATCTGTTTCTTTAGCCATGAAATGAGAGGTCTATTACACGTGCTTATTGAGGAAGGATGGTTGCGAGAAGACACCTTCAAGACGTATTACGATCTAAAATGAAGACAGCAAGTGGGAAGACACCTGGCCAACTTAAAAACAGTTGAAGACATAAGGAAACAAACGTATAACAAATCAGCTAAGTTTCATTTCTTTGATCCAGAAGACAAGGTGTTGGTACGGGCCCTATGAAGGTGAGAAAAAAAGTTCTGCTTGAAGGTACGTGACAGCACCTCCAGACAAATCCAGCTTCAGTAAAGTCAACCACATCAACCAAATTAAAAAGGTTTTGAACGACCTCAGATCCCAATAATGATCTTGTCCTCTGTTCCAGACCTTGTTGATGACCATGATTTCTTGGACGCAGTTCCTGAGGTTCAAATAAAGTTTTTTCAACTCAGTCTTCCTCCATGATCAATGCAGAAGCCCAATTAACAACATTTAGAGCACTTAAGAACATAAGAAAGAAGGAATACTGCAACAGGCCTACTGACCCATGCGGAGCAGGTCCATGTCATCCCCCCTGGATTAGCCCAATGACTCCTCCCCCCCCCCGATTAGCCCAATGACCCATACAGCCTGGTCATCTGCACTCAAGGAAGGAGCACGGCACCAGACCCTGCAGGACAACCCAGTCAGGTCCAACTCACACCCACCCACACCCACTCATGTATTTATCTAACCTATTTTTAAAACTACACAACGTTTGAGCCTCAATAACTGTACTCTGGAGTTTGTTCCACTCATCCACAACTCTATTACCAAACCAGTGCTTTCCTATATCCTTCCTGAATCTGAATTTTTCCAACTTGAAACCATTGCTGCGAGTCCTGTCTTGGCCGGAAATTTTCAGCATGCTATTTACATCCCCTTTATTTATTCCTGTTTTCCATTTATACACCTCGATCATATCCCCCTAATTCTACGCCTTTCGAGAGCGTGCAAATTCAGGGCCCTCAGTCTATCCTCATAGGGAAATTTTCTGATACATGGAATCATCTTTGTCATCCTCCTCTGTACATTTTCCAGAGCATTTATATCCATTCTGTAATACGGTGACCAGAATTGAGCAGCACAGTCTAAATGAGGCCTAACCAAGGATATATAGAGTTGAACAACCTGAGGACTTCTATTATTTATACTTCTAGATATGAAGCCAAGAATTCAGTTAGCTTTACTGCGAACACTAATGTACTCTTGTCTTGGTTTTAGGTTACTGCTAACCAGAACTCCTAAATCCTTTTCGCAATCAGTAGTATTAAGATCTACATTATTTAGTTTATATGTGGCATGGTTATTTACCTGTCCAACGTTTAGAACTTTGCATTTGTCAATATTAAACTGTATCTGCCACTTCTCCGACCATTGCATTAATCTATTCAAATCATCCTGGAGTGCTCTGTGTATTCATTAGAATGAATTGTACGGCCCATTTTGGTGTCATCAGCAAATTTGCTTATGGTGCTATTTATTCCCTCATCTATGTCGTTTATGTAAATTGTGAACAACAACGGGCCCAACACTGACCCCTGAGGAACACCGCTTGTGACGTGCCCCCATTCTGATTTCTCCCCATTTATGCAAACTCTCTGCTGCCTATTTGTCAGCCATGCCTCTACCCAGGAAAAAATTTCTCCTCCTATTCCGTGTGCCTTAAGTTTCCTCAATAGCCTCTGGTGTGGAACTTTATCGAAAGCCTTACTGAAGTCCATATACACAATATCATATTCATTACCATGATCTACCTCCTCAAACACCTTAGTGAAAAAAAGTTAGTAAATTCGTAAGACAGGTATGCCCCTTTGTAAAACCTTTTTGAGATTCATTAATCAATCTGTGCCTATCAAGATGGCTACGTATTGATTCGGCAATTATTGATTCCATAAATTTTCCCACTATAGAGGTAAGGCTTGTGCAAGAAAGGTATAAAATACCGACAATATGAAAGTTAAGACACATGTGCAACATCTGGATATCTTTATTGTAGACGTTTCGCCATCCAGTGGCTTTATCAATACAGATTCTAGGACATAATAGGAAGACAGTAGAACTATATACAAAAGATGAGGTAATCAGTCCCTCGGCCTTGGAGTTAGTGTTCACAGCATCGTGGTGGAGGAGAATCTGGATGTTGCACAGGTAAGGCTTATTGGTCTATAGTTCGAAGCCAAGGACCTGTCACCTGCCTTGTAAATAGGTATTACATTTGCCATTTTCCATTTATCAGGCACTATGCCAGTTTGTAGTGATATATTAAAAAGATTAGCCAAAGGTATGCTAAGTTCCTCTTTACATTCCTTTAACACCCTTGCAAACAGTTCCTCAGGACCTGGGGATTTGTTAGGTTTTAGTTTCTCTATTTGTCTGAGGACCGTATCACTAGTTACTGCAATCGTGCATAGTTTATCATCATCCTGTTCTACATAATCTATTATTTCAGGAATATCGCTAGTATTTTCGTGGGTGAAAACTGAGAGGAAGTAGGTATTGAGAATTTCACACATATCCTTATCACTGTCAGTGATCAGACCCGAGTTACTCTTAAGTGGGCCAATCTTGTCCCTAATCTTACTTCTGTATACCTGAAAGAACCCTTTTGGGTTAGTCTTTGAATCCCTTACGACCTTAGCCTCATAATCCCTTTTTGCTTTTCTTATTCCTTTCTTTATTTCTCTCTTTAATTGAATATATTGATTTCTTAACTGCCCATCCTCTTTTGATACGCCTATATATGCCTCTCTTTTGACCAATGAGATGTTTTAATCTATTGTTCATCCCTTTGGGATCATTTTTGTTACATCTAATTTCCCTACTCGGAACAAAAGTTGTCTGGGAAGCTAGAACTATGCTCTGAAAAACGTCATATTGGCAACCAAGATCACCTACCTGACCCATAGTCAGGACATCCCAATTTAGCCCACCCAGGTAATTTTTCAGTCCCATGAAGTCGGCCAAGCGAAAATCTGGGACAGAGATTTGATTGCAGTTATCTGGGTAATTCCACGATATATTGAAACTAAGTGATTTGTGATCACTTTCCCAAAGCTCATCATTAACCTCAAGATTATTAATTAGTGAATCTTTGTTGGCAAGAACCAAGTCAAGCAGATTGTTTCTGGTTTTTCAAACCATTCATCACAACTGTCAGACACTGCAGCATCATGGGATCTTGTTACAAAGAATTCTTCAACACTTGTTCAACCTTTGGACGAAGACCTACTTCGACTAGTGGATGGTACCACTATGACCCCGCCTCCATCTGCTTCACGTCACCTCACTACAGTATATAAGCCACGTCTACGGCCCTATGCTGTACATTCTACAAGATTGATGGACTGAACACATCGACTCCAGGTTGAGGGACTGATTACCTCATTCTCCTCCTCTCCTTACGCCTTCCTCTTTGTATTGGACTGATGAAGCCACTGTGTGGCGAAACGTTTCCTGAATAAAGATTCCCATATGCTGCATAAGTGTCTCAATCTTCAACTTATCGGTTTTTCAAACCATTCATCACAGATTGTTTCCTCTAGTTGGTTCTGTCACAACCTGTTCTAAAAAGCAATCCTGAACCGTATCAAGAAAGTCACTAGACTCAAGATTTCCTCTCATATTGTTCCAATCAATCTGTCTAAAGTTAAAAGCTCCCATTATCACAACATTTTCATATCAAGATGCCTTATGAATTTCGTCCCACAATAGCTTACTGCACTCCCTAGGAAGGTTTGGGGGGCCTATAAATCACACTCAGAATTAATTTGTCACGTCCCTCGAGAAACTGTAGCGAAACAGATTCTGTGTTCGATGTTTCTAATCTTATATCATGTCCAAGACAACAATTTAAATTTTCTCTGACATACATCGCTACTCCACCACCCTTCCTGTTGACCCTATCAGTGTGGAATAGTTTATAACCCTGTATGTTTTATTCAGAAGGCATTTCTCTATCTTTCAGGTTGAACCATGTCTCTGTTATACCAATAATATCTATATTACCTACACCTGCAAGTAATCTTAGCTCATCTATCTTATTTCTTAGACTCCTACTATTTGTATAGTAAACCTTAAGGGAGTTAGTCACTTGTTGCCCTTTGCTATCTCTCTTTGTTTGTTGATCAATTGATTTGCCATTACTAGCAACTTCTGCATACCTATCCCGACATATTTTCGGATGTTCCGAAAATGTACAACCTAGGTTACTATGATGTTAATTAACTTGGCCTCTTATAAACTCTCTCTCTACAGAGTTAATTCTGAGAAGCAGAAATTACTTAAGAACATAAGAATGGAGGGACACTGCAGATGGCCTACGGGCCCACATAAGGCAGGTCCTTATCAAAACTACCCTACCCAAAACTACCCAAGAATTAACTCCCATACCCACGACACTAATCATACCCAGCCCCTACCACTCTTAAGCAGGAAGTAATATTTGTACTAGAACATGGATTGGTGGAAGTCTCTCCCAGCCATTGCGCCTCATCGTGCATCCTTGTTTAAAATCCTGATGGGGGATTACGGATGTATACAGATTACTGCAAGGTGACTGACATCACACCTGATGCTTAGCCTTTTCCCCACATGTACGACAGAGCGGACTTTGTGGGTAATGACAAGTTTGTTTCTATATTAGATCTCCTTAAAGGATACTATCAAGTAGCCTTAACATGTAAAGTAAAAGGACACAAGTGCAACTAATGTGACATTTATAGTGGCAACGTTTCGCTCTCCAGGAGCTTTTTCAAGCCATTACAAACAATACATGGACACAGAGGGTATATAAAGGCTCAGAGTGAGGTGAATACTAGTGAGGTACCATTTCGATGTTCACTAGTGGTAGTAGTAGTAGTAGTAGTAGTAGTAGTGGTAGTGACAAAAGTAATACAATATGGTAGAGCAATTAATTCGTACATGAGTAAAAGGATATAAAAGCTATTACTTGGGTAACATAAAAATAGGTTGGACAAATATAGACTGGAATGAGGCAGCTTGTTTCATATTGTCGGTAATTCTACCAACTTTATTACAATAGCCTTAACATAAAACTATGGAGATTTCTGCCTTCGTAATTCCTGGTGGTCATTATCAGTATACTGGGACCTATTTTGGAATGAGGAACTCGCTCACTTTATTCCAGAAACTGATCCATCAGGCTATTAAAGGACTTGAAAATACAGTGGCCTACCTGGTCAAAATAGTTGTGGCTTCTGATACGTGGGATCAATATGTGTCTCGTCTAAAAACGTCTTTGAGAGGTACAGGACTCAAAAGTCAACTGTAAATCTTAGTAAGTCGCCTTGCAGCCAATGTACCATAACTTTCCTAGTCCATGAAGTAGACAGTGACAAAGTGGCAACCAACTTTGCTAAAGTTTCAGACAAACAAAATTATCCTATTCCCCAAGAAAAAAAAATCCTTCATCGATTTCTACGAATGATAAAGTTTTACCATAAATTCTGTCAGAATTTCTCTGACATTGTGCCCCCGTTAACCTCTCTCTTTGTAGATGAATGGTTCACAGAACCGACATGTTGATATAGACACATGTGCAACTCTTGGGTATCTTTATTGAGGAAACGTTTCGCCACACATGTGTTGCACATGTGTCTAATTTATCAACCTCTCTCTTACCAGTAATAACGTTCATTTCATATGGTCCTCTGTTTGTCAGGAAGACTTTATGTAAATGAAGCATTTATTATGCGCTCCTCCAGTGTTGTTATCTCCAGATTATACAAACAGGGAAGCCTCAGTGGCTCCAGCTATTTAGCAAACTGGTGCTCTGCTTCCGTGTGACGCTAACCTATGTACTTCCTTTCCTAGCCTATTACGCATGTTCCTATCTCGCTACACATTCATTTTGGCTTGAACTGTAGCAGTATTACGACTAGAGTGAAACATTTCCCTCATTATGTGTCATTACGTATGTATGTATCTTTGTCCACATCAGCGCTCCTGGAAATATAAACACAAATATAAACACAACTTGTCCAATACCCCTGCCAAGCTACCCAAGACTCTATAACCCCACCCGGTAGATCATCAGATGCAGCATTCTCCACCTGACCTCAACATTCTGAACATGACTATAAATACTCTCGTACCTTCCAACCCCAGGTAGATCCGTGTGTGACTTGAAAAAGCCCACTGTGTGGGTGAAACGTTGTCAATAAAGGATCACATTATACTGCATTTGTGTTTATATTTCCATTGTGTCGGTATTTTATACCATTTATTTCCATCAGCGCCCCTCATGTACTTGATATACTTAATATTAAAAAAAAAGACAATTCTTTAAATTAATATTATTAATATAAGTTTTTTTTGTGTCAATAGCAAAACGCTGTAGAGGCGCTGTTGTCTATAGGCAGCTTTCCTCATGTGCTGACCCATTGCTGGAAGACCCCTGCTGACCTCGCTCTCTCCCAGGGCCACACCCAGGTCACCCGGCTGCTGCCATTACACACTCATCACCTGGTGAGTGACCAACTTCAGCATATTTGACTGAAAAATTAGACACATGTGCAACTCTTGGGTATCTTTATTGAGGAAACGTTTCGCCACACAGTGACTTCATCAGTCCATACGTAGGAGAAACTTGAAGAACAGGAGAAGAATGAGGTAATCAGTCCCTCAACCTTGAGTCGATGTGGTCAGTCCATCAATCTTGTCCATCAGTCTATTCAAGATTGATGGACTGAACACATCGACTCAAGGTTGAGGGACTGATTACCTCATTCTTCTCCTGTTCTTCAAGTTTCTCCTACGTATGGACTGATGAAGCCACTATGTGGCGAAACGTTTCCTCAATAAAGATACCCAAGACTTGCACATGTGTCTAATTTATCAACATGTCGGTTCTCTGAACCATTCATCTTCAAATATTTGACTGAAGATGTATGGCTCGGTTCATTATGAAGGGGATTACCCATAGTCATGGTTCATTATGAAGGGGATTACCCATAGTCATGGTTAAGGATGCTTGAGGAAATTAATTGAAGTTATCTTTCCATCATTTGGTCTCTTTTGATTACCTCTCATAGCCCAGGACCTGTATGTCCCCTACGGTTTTAGCACTTCTCCATGTATATAATAATCTGGTTTGTAAGTATTGATTACTTCGCTTATCATTAACTTGCGAAACAGAATTGACTGACTAAAATACTATTGTGATTTATGCATATTTTTGTAAGTTAATGATGATCTTTAAGATAAACTGGAATGAATATAAAATTAAAAAGTATTCTTAAAGCATATTTACTGTTTACCACCAGGACAGTGTCTCTAAGACACTCATTCCCAAGCTGTTGTTTTAGTAGTGCATGCACGTCATAGTTGAAATGACTCGCCGAACTGCAACATCTCACTCCTTTATCAGAGTGCAAACATTGTTAATCCCACCTCGTGAACTACAGATTCCCAGTAATCCTCTTTGTGTAGTACTGTAACTTCCCAAGCCAAAACCACAATGTCTACAGCCGTCCTTCAGAGGTAAACAACCGTACTTCCCTCCTCCAGAATCGGAACATCTTCACTCATCTTTCAGAATGCAGTCACCACACTTCACAATTCCAAATCCACAACATTCTTTTCAATGTAGATTCTATTTCCCTCTTTCAGAACACAAGTTCTTCTAACAGGCTTCCCTATATTTTTTTCATATGTACGTGTGTTAGTTTAATAATTGTATTATGTATTTCATACCCATCCTGTGAGATGTGCATTTATATGGAGGACCAATTTATGCATATAAGAAATCCCAACAAGTTATTGTCTTTACAGACACGAAGGGAGCGAACCCATCTTTACGGTCGCCTTGTGGAGGAAGTGAGTTGTGCAGAGCTCAAGACTGCTGTCATGATTGGTGAGAAAGAGGAATATGAGCGTCGCATTCTCTCCCTCAAAAAAGTGACTCAGCTGTTGATGTCTGGAGCGCCGTTGGAACCCCCAGGAGGTCACAGCGTCTTCGTGTTGCACTTGGCCATCACCACTAACTGTACAGATCTCCTTCCTCTGTTACTGAGTGCCGGGGCACCTCTCACTACTACCACAGGTGGCATGAACCTTCTGCAACTAGCCTGGCGTTCTCCTGATGTCACAACACAAATTGTTGCTATTGTCACAAGGGTAAGATATCGCCAAAATTAAGTGCATTTCCCACCATAACATGGCATGTTTTTAACTCATCTAATTAAACAGGCTCGAGTCATTATTGCATTAATTAAGATAAGCTTCATATAACGTTTCCCAGCTGGATAATTTTAAACCAATTAATTTTCAACCACAAGCTTGTGGAAACTGCATCAATATTAAACTTATCTCGAACATTATTACAAACACATTAGTCGAACACAGTTGGTGTGGCAGTGTCAGTGATGTGTAATTGCCTACTGATATTTGTATATACCTATTTGTAGGTACTGGCGGGGAACTAGTTGGAGGTAACCTATTAATAAACTTACCATCTCTTTTCCAGAGGTCATTGCACGTAATATACCTTATAATATATTCTAATATTTTCACAGTAAAACGTTCTTAATATGTGCATACATACGGCCTTTTATCCTCTTGGTACCTACGGGGAGGCTCCTTGATGCCAGTGAATGACTTCGTCAAAGGATTTGAATTTATCCAGACTACCTCCTAATCCTCAAGCTCTGTATGACCCTTAATTTAAAGTAGTCCTTTGAGTGTAACTATACTCATACACAATAAAGTATCGCTTGGAAATGTCTCGGAGCGTGGAACCCCGACAGCGTCTGCGTGTTGCACTTGAGCCATCACCACTAACTGTACAATCTCCTTCCTCTGTTACGATGCCGGGCAAAAACTCTCATACTACCACAGGTGGCATAACCTTCTGCAAACTACTGGCAGTTCTCACTGATGTCACAACACAAAATTGTTGCATTGTCACAAGGGAAGATATCGCCAAAATTAATTGCATTCCACCATAACATGGCATGTTTAGTTACCTCTAATGTAAACAGGCTGAGTCATTATTGCATTAATTAAGATAAGCTTCATATAACTTTCCCAGCTGGATATTTTTAAACCAATTCTAATTTTGCAACACACAAGCTTGTGGAAACTGCATCAATTAAAAAACATTATCTCGAAACATTATTACAAACACATTAGTCAACCAGTGGTGTGGCAAGTGTCAGTGATGTGTAATGCCTACTGACATTTGTATAACCCAGTTTGTAGGTACGGCTAGGGAACTAGTTGGTGGTACCTATTACTAACTTACCATCGCTTGTGTCCAGAGTCATTGCACAGCGATTACACTTATAAAATTCTAATATTTTCACAGTAAAACGTCCTTAATTGTGCAACATACGGGCTGGTTATCCTGCTTGGTACCAACGGGGAGCTACCCTTGATGCCAGTGATGTACTTCGTCAAAGGGATTTGAATTTATCCAGCTAACTCCTAATCTCAGCTCTGTTGACCCTTACATACTTAACGTATCTTGAGTGTATAACAACAGATATTTACACAGACAACACGGTGTTACAGCTATTGAGACAGATATCGCCTGTACTGTATAACCCGAGCTCCTGCGAGCCATGTCATGATAGTAAGTGCACAATCCAGCAGAACATGTTTCCATGCATTAAAATAGCAGGGAGAGATTTCCGGATTAAATAACTGGAAATTCACAAGTTACTATATAGATATTATTATCCAATTTAAAGTAAAATGAAAATTGGTTATATTCAGCCATAAGCTGAGTCTAAACACATCCAGTAAGTCACAACACAACTGTTTCTAACTACTACACAGATAAGTTTTCATGATATATAAGAGTTTAGAAATACCCCTTCTACTATACACAAACTTTATTAAATCATGAGTCCATCAAATTTGCATTTTCAAGTTATCACTACTGATGGGTAAAAGTAACTGAGTGAGGCACTCAGATACTATGGTTTGAAAACTAATATTTCAATATTTCTATTTTTTGGGGGGAGGGGGGCAGTCTATTCCATTAAAATCTCTGTACAATTCTGCAAGAAAAAGGTTGTTTTGTTATCTTAGAAAGCTCAATGTGATAAAGAAAATGAAACTGGTAAATTGGTGAGTACAAACTGAATAAGAAAATACCGGCAGTTAAGACACACCAGCGGCTGGTGTGTCAGCTAGACCACACCAGCGGCTGGTGTGTCAGCTAGACCACACCAGCGGCTGGTGTGTCAGCTAGACCACACCAGCGGCTGGTGTGTCAGCTAGACCACACCAGCGGCTGGTGTGTCAGCTAGACCACACCAGCGGCTGGTGTGTCAGCTAGACCACACAGCGGCTGGTGTGTCAGCTAGACCACACCAGCGGCTGGTGTGTCAGCTAGACCACACCAGCGGCTGGTGTGTCAGCTAGACCACACCAGCGGCTGGTGTGTCAGCTAGACCACACCAGCGGCTGGTGTGTCAGCTAGACCACACCAGCGGCTGGTGTTCAGCTAGACCACACCAGCGGCTGGTGTGTCAGCTAGACCACACCAGCGGCTGGTGTGTCAGCTAGACCACACCAGCGGCTGGTGTGTCAGCTAGACCACACCAGCGGCTGGTGTGTCAGCTAGACCACACCAGCGGCTGGTGTGTCAGCTAGACCACACCAGCGGCTGGTGTGTCAGCTAGACCACACCAGCGGCTGGTGTGTCAGCTAGACCACACCAGCGGCTGGTGTGTCAGCTAGACCACACCAGCGGCTGGTGTGTCAGCTAGACCACACCAGCGGCTGGTGTGTCAGCTAGACCACACCAGCGGCTGGTGTGTCAGCTAGACCACACCAGCGGCTGGTGTGTCAGCTAGACCACACCAGCGGCTGGTGTGTCAGCTAGACCACACCAGCGGCTGGTGTGTCAGCTAGACCACACCAGCGGCTGGTGTGTCAGCTAGACCACACCAGCGGCTGGTGTGTCAGCTAGACCACACCAGCGGCTGGTGTGTCAGCTAGACCACACCAGCGGCTGGTGTGTCAGCTAGACCACACCAGCGGCTGGTGTGTCAGCTAGACCACACCAGCGGCTGGTGTGTCAGCTAGACCACACCAGCGGCTGGTGTGTCAGCTAGACCACACCAGCGGCTGGTGTGTCAGCTAGACCACACCAGCGGCTGGTGTGTCAGCTAGACCACACCAGCGGCTGTGTCTCAGCTAGACCACACCAGCGCTGGTGTGTCAGCTAGACCACACCAGCGGCTGGTGTTCAGCTAGACCACACCAGCGGCTGGTGTCTCAGCTAGACCACACCAGCGCGTTCAGCGACCACACCGCGGTGTGTCAGCTAGACCACACCAGCGGCTGGTGTGTCAGCGAGACCACACCAGCGGCTGGTGTGTCAGCTAGACCACACCAGCGGCTGGTGTGTCAGCTAGACCACACCAGCGGCTGGTGTGTCAGCTAGACCACACCAGCGGCTGGTGTGTCAGCTAGACCACACCAACCAGTCTACACTTATTACATGAAAAATAATTTATTAATATTTATTATATGAAATTTCCATGCCTGAAGATAAGAGCCAAGATTTTCTTTAATAAAACGCTACAAACGCTGACAATTTGAAGCTATCAGAAAAAAGTATTATCAAGTAATTACTTATAATCCAGTGACTACACGTCTTCAACAAATAAAATTCCAAATTTACTTAAACTTAAGATTTCGTTCGGATTTTTAACCCCGGAGGGTTAGCCATTCAGGATAACCCAAGAAAGTCAGTTCGTCATCGAGGACTGTCTTATTTCCATTGTGGTCCTCAATCTTATCCCCCAGGATGCGACCCACACCAGTCGACTAACACCCAGATACCTATTTGCAGCTAGGTTAACAGGACAACAGGTGTAAGGAAAAGCGTCGAAATGTTTCTACCCCGCCGGGAATCGAACCCAGACTCTCCGTGTGTGAAGCGAGACCTTTGCCAGCCAGGCCACAGGAACACAAGTGGACTTAAATGATGTCATTGAATGAATCAGAGTTAGTATTTTCTAGACGATTAAATCGAAACATTCATCAAATATTAAATTGATTAAATATCTCTATTTAGTATAACAGGAAAACTGGGCCTTGTTTATCACATTCAGGAAGCGATTCACCAGAGTTCAACATTTGGACTTAATCACGAGAAATTCTTCATGTACCTCACATATTACAACGTTAAAGTTTTTATCACTTCCTTAGTATGTTGTTAAAAATTCTCGCACACAAACTAAAATTAAGAGGTACTAGGCCAGTAATTCTCAACCTGGGCTAAATTTACCCCTTGGGAGGTAAAAAATACATGGCAAGGGTAATTATTTTCGTGAAAAACCTGAAGGATTTATTTTTTCTGACCTTTTTTTTCTGTCCCTTTATGATGGCGATAAATGTTTTGTATGGAAGTGACGGAGTAAATGGAGAAATACATCAAGCCGAGAAGGTTAATGATGGAGGAAGAGTTAAGAATCCCTGGCCAAGGCCATTAGCTAGTACATGTTAAAGTCATTCATAAGAGATAGACTTACATATACTTAAATTGATTAACAAAAAAATAAATTTCACACTACTTTTAGACATTAAATTTGTAGACGTGCACCTAAACACTTTAATTTCGCTCTCATCAGTCGTCGAGTTAGGATGCTTCTGTTTCTGATTGTTTAATATCAAGCAACAGAGAGTTTCAGATGTTACTGGAGTCATTGCAGGAAGCTGAGAATGGCTTACACAATTCTGGTCATAGAGCACCAGCACATGCCAAGTGTTCCAAGAATTTTGACCTGGTTACCGTACACCAACATTGAAAATTTAAGTGAAATAAGCAAAATATAAAGTTGGAGGAAGTAAAACAAGAATAAGTTAAGCAACCACTCATAGCTCCTCTGTGAGGAGATCAAGTAATTTATTTGATAATGTTATAAATATATAATAATCTATTTTCTGTATTCTTTTAAATTTTTTTTTTATTTTAGCTATTATATTATATTTTTAAGATTGTTTGATATGTAATTTATTTTTTATTAACACATCGGTCGATTCCACCAAGGCAGGGTGGCCCACCGCACCTCCTCCTAATTTCCAAACTACGAATTCTCTGCATTATATTCACACCACACATTGCTCTCAGACATGACATCTCCACTGCCTCCAGCCTTCTCCTCGCTGCAACATTCACCACCCATGCTTCACACCCATATAAGAGCGTTTGTAAAACTATACTCTCATACATTCCCCTCTTTGCCTCCAAGGACAAATTTTTTTTTTTTTATCTCCAACAGACCCCTAAGTGCACAACTCACCCTTGTCCCCTCATCAATTCTATGATTCACCTCATCTTTCATAGACCCATCCGCTGACACGTCCACTCCCAAATATCTGAATACATTCACCTCCTCCATACTCTCTCCCTCCAATCTGATATCCAATCTTTCATCACCTAATCTTTTTGTTATCCTCATAATCTTGCTATTATTAATTTAATATTAATTTAATATTCCTCTATTTGTTCAATTCTCTTAACATTTTATATAACTATTTGCATGTAACTGGATGTTATTATATTCCAAGTTCATTATTACAAATCCCCGAAGGAGTATCCTTATATGCTTGCCAGATTTTTTTTTCTTTCCTCCAGAATTTCCGTTTTATTTTGATCTTAACAGGAGACGGCCTCATCCTGTAGGCTTCAAATTTTCAGATAAATTGAATAGGATTCTTGAAACATTAGGGTTGTGTAGGAGCCCTATGACAAGAGTTGTAGAACTCATTTCCAGCGTTTTAATATGGCTCTGACAATTTGTAAAAAATGTGAATTTGAAGTGTGTACAGTGCTAGTCACGGCATTATGCCGGGTGAGCGCCCCGGCAAAACGCCGTAACGAAAATCAAAGGCCTACCATACAGGGGGTCTTTTTCGTCAGTGCATTATGTCGGGTAGCAGTCGTTAGCATGACATCACGACCAGCCGTCACACTCCACAGTGTCTCCTCAGTGCTCACGTGGCTGCCGGGGTGAGAGGTAGTGTTGCACTTTTGTCTCTCATCCGCCTCAACTTTTGTCCGTTTTCCCCTTTTGGGGTTTTGGGCTAAATTTTTGATTATGGGTAAAAGGAAGTCTTTTAATCCCTGAAACTAAGCTCAAATAATGGGCTTCAAAAAGGGGGCACCAACAAAAGAAACATTGGAGAAGGTTGGTTTTGTGAGCGTTCAGTGAGGACCAGGGCGCAGGTTTAAAGGTGGTGACGGGGGGTTTTCCATCGCCAAACCCTCCCTCACCCCCCAAGAAGTTAAAATTACTATAATTTCTGAAACTTAAATCCGTAAACGTACAATTTGTAATGTTTTTTCTGTGTATGTAATTTTTTTAGGGTTTTGCTTATTGGGATTTTTTAATTAGATTTGGTTCGTGTATTTCCTTTTTACCTTTTTTTAATTTCGAATTTGGGGTTTACTTTAAAAGTTAGCTTGAATGTCTCTTCTGAGTCCCTTTAACTCTTAAACGCTAATGTTTAACTTAATGTCAAATATGCCTCACCCTGTCTTATTCCAGTCTCATACTAATGTACAGGAGACTGGTGGTACAGTATGGTACATATGTAACAGGAGACTAGGGTGGTACAGTATGGTACATATGTAACAGGAACTAGGGGGGTACAGTATGGTACATATGTAACAGGAGACAAATGGTGGTACAGTATGGTACATATGTTACAGGAGACTAGGGTGGTACAGTATGGTACATATGTTACAGGAGACTAGGGTGGTACAGTATGGTACATATGTTACAGGAGACTAGGGTGGTACAGTATGGTACATATGTTACAGGAGACTAGGGTGGTACAGTATGGTACATATTTTACAGGAAACTAGGGTGGTCAGTATGGAAAACAAAATGTAACAGGAGACTAGGGTGGTACAGTATGGTACATATGTAATAGGAGACTAGGGTGGTGCAGTATGGTACATATGTAACAGGAGACTATGGTGGTACAGTATGGTACATATTTTACAGGAGACTAGGGTGGTACAGTATGGTACATATGTTACAGGAGACTAGGGTGGTACAGTATGGTACATATTTTACAGGAGACTAGGGTGGTGCAGTATGGTGCATATGTTACAGAAGAATAGGCTGGTACAGTATGGTACATTCATAACAGGAGACTAGGGTGGTACAGTATGGTACATATGTTACAGGAGACTAGGCTGGTACAGTGTGGTACATTCATAACAGGAGACTAGGGTGGTACTGTATGGTACATAGGTAACAGGAAACTATGGTGGTACTGTGTGGTACATAGGTAAAAGGAGACTAGGGTGATACAGTATGGTACATATGTAACAAGAGACTAGGATGGTACTGTATGGTACATATGTAACTCTGTATGTGGTCTCCTTACCTAATCTCCCAACTCCATAATTTCCCATTTTATCTGTACAAACCCCAGTAATCATTTACGTGACCATTCCTGATCACTATACAGTCTTCCTGCACTTTTTTTTCCAATCTCGTCAATGATAACACTTTACTGTACCTAGTTAAGTTTATTCCTGTTGTCAGTTCATTAGCATACACGTTTTTGGCGTTGTGTTGCTGTTTTAGGTTAAATCTACATACGTTATCACCAATATATGCCTCAGCCTTTATGAATCTTTAGAACCATTATTCAAATCTGTATAATTCATTTTGTAAAAATATTTGTAAATCTCCTGTACAGATATCTTATCTGAACAGTATTGAGAGTAACACATCTGTTCCTTGTGTTTGATTTGATGTTATTATTCACTTAAAATTCTTAAATACACACCCTAGATCTTCTATTTTCCCATAGGCCATAGTGCACAGAATTAAGTATGAACTGACACTGGTTGATGCGAGGCGTGAGGTTCAAGACAAGCCAAGAGGCGAGGCAGATGGTGAGGCAGTAGATGAGGAGTTGAGTACTGGTATGGAGTATCTTCTGAAGGAACTGCAGGGGCCGGAGGCTTGGCGAGCATCCTGGTACAGTAGTGAAAGAGACCATATCAACCTTACCAGACTTCTGGTTCGAGCCTCTTACAGAGGTGCCACTCTCACTGCTGCGTTTATACAGGTGTGTCTTAAAATTACACTTTTTTTCCAAACGTCTTAGATCTCAAACTTTATATCGAGTTACATTCCAATTTATTTACTTACAACACCCTTTTTCTGTTACGTATGTAACCATTACTATTACTATTACTAGGGCTCTGGTGGCCTGGTGGTTAACGCTCGCGCTTCACACGGCGAGGGCCTGGGTTCGAGTCCCAGCCAGAGTAGAAACATTGGGCGTGTTTCTTTCCACCTGTTGTCTAAGTTCCCCATCAGTAAAATGGGTACCTGGGTGTTAGTCGACTGGTGTGGGTCGCATCCTGGGACACTGACCTAATTTACCCGACATGCGAAGCATAACAAGCGGCTTTCTATATAGTAGTATGTCATTGTTGTCAGCTAGGACTGTATACCTTGTACATGTACTTGTAGTAAATAAAGATATTATTTAACTAGTCCACTGATATTACAGCTTTGTATGACCCAAACGGGTTAAGCACTAGTTTAATAATAATAATAATATAAATTAATTATGATTATTATTATTATTATTAAAAAATATAATTTATTACATAACGATCATAACCACTGCTATTATTGACTGGTGGTCGCAGCAAAGAGGTGGGTCAGTGACTTCCTTGACTGCTAGTGGTCACACTGCGCTCCACATTGCCCTAGACGCTGGTCACATGCAAACTGTCGAGTGCCTTGTTCGCCACATGGGTGCCAACCTCTTCCTTTGTGACGGGCTGGGAAGGCTCCCTCTTCTTCTGTGTCCTCAAGACAAGAGAGACCAACTTCTGGAGGTAAGGTTTCCTATCTGCAACTATCCTCTTCTCTGGATAAAACGTTATTACTTTATATTCTCCTCGGCCTATATTACATGAACGGGTTTAACCTTTCATCATAAATATAGTAATAATTATCTCCTACTCTCCAGGCACTGTATAATCCTAATAGATTTACCATGGATTTATTAACAATAATATAGTTCGCTGGGATTAAGCTTTACCACGTAATCCCTCTCAACAGTCATTGGTATACACATTCTTAACATGAGAAACTTACGGATTCATCAGTATGAAGTTTGAGTGACAGTATAATTGGTTCATTTCTTATATATATTATATATATATATATATATATATATATATATATATATATATATATATATATATATATATATATATAATATATATATATATATATATATCACAATCTTTATTTTATAGTGTTATCTCTCATTTCCATTGTATATATTTATACAACATGGATAACATCATCCATTATTGCCGTTTTTCAGCCTATCACATCTGCCTATATGGGTTTGCATAAATATTTGGTATCCTCGAAATTGACTATATATATATATGAGAATGCCTGATTCTTTTCCTACCAATATTCTTCCGTAAATTTTCAATTATATTTCTGGGTCAGCTGTTAGTCAGGACAGCAGAGTTACAATCATTTATTCTTCATTCCTGTAAGTTGTTTATTATTCTCCACCTGGATAGAAAAAAAACACACATTTACAGTTCAGGATATTTATCAGAGGAAACGTTTCGCTACTTCAGTCCAAATGAAGCCACTCGTGGCGAAACGCTTCCTATAATAAATGTCCTGAACTGTCCATAAGTGTCTTTTCCACATCTTGTCGGTATCACCACATTTTTCACCAACTTGTTAGCCTGCTGTGGTAATTATTGCATCACCAAACTGTCATCTCCATGTTAGTGGTGACTTTAATTACAGGATTAATTGTCCACTGTCGAAGACCTATTTGACCACCACTCTTACTGTTGGCCAGTCAACTACCTGTTCTCGGGGTATTAAAGACTTTGTAAATGGTCCAAGCCGGACCGAAACGTCGTCGTGACCTGCTCTTTTCTATATGCAGGTTATTTGTGTATTGTTCGAGGCACGGTATTGTGCCTTTTTGTGCTTAAATATCCTTGATGTTGGTGAGGGGCTCTTGATTTAGGGAATTGGATCTGTGCTCCAGTTCCCCGAATTAATGCCTTCCACATATCCCCCCCCCCCAGGCGCTGTATAATCCTCCGGGTTTAGCGCTTCCCCCTTGATTATAATAATAATAAGGTGCTTAAATAAGTTGAGGTGATGTATCTTAGTACTGTGTCTGGTCGTAGTGTCGTTTCAATTAGTATGTAGAACATAACATAAGAACATAAGGATGGAGGAACACTGCAGAAGGCTTACTGTCACATAAAAGGCAGGTCCATAATTACAGAAACCTTAATCTGAACCAGGTTGGTGTGAAAGTGAAAAATATTTTGGGTAAGGCGGATGCGTTTGCATTGGTTTTCGACCATTTAGCAAAGATTCATGATGAGATGTTTGTGGCTGTGACTAATATATTCCGCCCTTTGATTACAAAATAAATATTGATTCGTAATGTTGCCCCCTTTATGTGAGTCCTGTGTTGTTCAGCTAGATAGGACTTTGAAGAGTGCAGTGTGTGGATGGCAAGGATTGCGTACTGGATCATGGTATGATGATAAAGATACCTGTTAGGCAGGATATCGTTCCATAAGGTGAAACACTACAGGGATAACAATTAAATTTTGTCGTGGAAATCAGAGAGCTTCTGTTTACCCATGTTAATGACCTGCTGGTATGTGTTCGAATTTGCCTTGATTAACTTTGATTATGCTTTTCAACTAGCATCAGCCATCTTTGAATATTTTTTTTTTTACAAATAATGGAGAACATTCGTTTGGATCTGGATTTAACTCAGGTGGGTAAAAAGTTCTCAGCGGCTGTCCTGACTCGGGTTGTATCACAGACTAAATATGCTTAGGATGTTCCAGTTAGCGATGAGATGGATTCTGGGATATATCAGTTTCTAATAAGACATATTAAGCATTAGATCGTATGAATGTTTCAAGTATCTTGCCCTCATATGAAAGTAAATGCTGGTTTTATTACAAATTGTTGATTATTTAGAGTTTTCAGAGCGCATGTTTTCCTCAGACATTGAAGGTGTCTCTGGCAGTCAACTTGAAAAGTTTTCTCTCGATTGAAAAATGTTAATCTGTCGTCCTGTTCAAATATCATGTTGCTATGTTGACTTAACGTACTAATCTTTCCTTTTCTGGAGTGGAGTAACATGTTAAGTCTACATATATACTATTTTATTCAACTCGCCACCATTTGATTCAACCTTGTATGAAGTTTATAATGATTTGATTGGTACAGAACTTGTATTCGGAAATGCACTATTTTTCTTGGACCTCACTGATGCATTTAATACCATTGCTCATAGATTACTGAGAAGTGACCGTTTCGGTAGCGGTCTTAGATGTACCACATTGTCGCTTCTGAAATCATATCTTTCTGGTGGGTCTTATCTAGCAGCAGTCCCTTTGGCATTTTCAGGGCTCTATTAGGGACCAGTACTGGTATACTGTTTGTTACTGTTGGATGCCCACTGGACTAATTATCATATTTATGGTGATAATACTTAATGTAGAAGATGTAAAAACTGAATGAGATTAATACGGAAATTTTGATTGTTTGGAGAGAAATCACAGGGGTGAACAGAGCGGAGATTCTGGTGCATTTAACTTGCAGTCTGTGGGATTAGTGAGGGATCGGGCTGTCTATCTAGGTTCCTCATTGTCTTTGTTGGGCACATCAACCAAAATGTTAAATCTTGCAATTTTCTTTTTTTGTTATCTCTGTGCAGTTAGAAAATTTCGTAATAAGCAGAATGTCTTTGTCCTTATTTATGCATGGGTTTTCTCATGATTTGTTCTTTTAGCACACTGGCCGTTTCCCACCTAGGTAGGGTGACCCGAAAACAAGAAACACTTTCACGATCACTCACTCTATCGCCTTGCCAGAGGCACCCCGATATTATATCTCAGATCCCCCTCAAACTGCAATATCCCAACCCTCCTTCATAGTGTAAGCACAGTACGTCCCACCTCCAGGACTCATATCCAGCTAACTGGTTTCCAGGAATCCCTTGTTAAATATTACTTTTCTCCCACTTCATTAGTACATAAAGTTATGAAACATATTCACTCATTCCTTTCTAACACACGCTCGCCTGTTGGATGTACAAGCCTTTCACATACTATACCTCCTTTGCCTCCTACCTTCAACCTTACCTAGGATGACATCTGTCCAAACCACCTCAATAACCTCTCCTAAGTCCTCTGGATACTACTATTAGCAAATCTGTAACTCCTAATCTCCAAACTAAGAATTCTCTACACAATGCTCACACCACACATTAATATATTCACAGCCTGCAGCTTCCATCTTGCTGCAACATTAAAAACCAATAATTCACGCCAGTATGAGTGCTGATATTACTGATACATTCCCCTTTTTGCCTTCATGGATTACGCTCTTTAAGGCCACAATGCACCATCGACCTTTCTCCTCATTTCAGTTCTGTGGTTCACCTCGTCTTTCACCGATCCGTCCGCCGATAAGTCCACTCCCTAAAATCTGTACACATTCCCTTCCTCCAGACTCTCTCCTTCCAGTCTGATGCCCAATTTTTCATCTTTTTTATGTTCACTGTTAATTTCCTTCTTTTACGAACCCTCCCAAATTTATCCACCATTCATTGTAACTTCTCTTCAGTCTCCAAAAAGCACAGTGTAAGTGACAAAAAGCAACTGTCACAACTCTCAATTTGTATTAGATTCTTTATCTTTCAATACCTCACATCCACCCAAGACCCTATCATTCACTTCTTTTATAGACCTCATCTATAAATATTTTTAAAAGCTATGGTCACTTCACAAATACCAGTCTAAAGCATACTTTTACTGAAAAATAATTTCCCTCTCTCCTACATACCCTAACTTGAATCTCGCCATCCTCATATAAACTCATAACTACTACAAGAAACCTACCATCTATTCCATATATTCTGTCACATTAATTCCCTATCCAGCCTATCATAAATGCAACGAAAACTTCTTTAGCTTTATTTAAATATTGTTCAATTATATGCATCAAAGCCAATATTTGATCTGCATTTCCTTCCTAAAACTTTCTTGTTCATTTGCAGTTCTGCTCACTGTCTTACCCTTGATTCTTTCAATAATTTTGCTACTCACTTTACATTATATACCCAACAGGTTTATTTCCCTATAATTCTTAGTATTTTTCATTCATTTCATGCATGCTCTCTGCTAATCCCTAAGTACCTACTCACATTTCATACATTTATTGAGCAAGTGCACCAACCACTCCAAAACTATGTACCATTTCCTTTGAACATTTCTGCTTCATTCCCGTCAATCCCAGCTACTTCCCCCCCCCCCACCTCCTCCATTCTACCAACTGCCTCATACACCTGCCCACTTCTCCACTAATCAAAGATGCTATACTTCCCTGTCCATTGCGTGAATTCACTGCCTCTCTCTTTCTCTAATAACATAAACAGCTCATCAAAATATTCTCTCTATCTGTAGTTAAACCTTCACGTCCCCATCTAATAATATCTCTCTTTTGTTTTTAACTGTTAAATCAATTCGTTCCCTAGGCTGTCTCAACTTATTAATCTCCATTTTTTCTTCTCAGCAAAATTTGTTGACAAAAACCTCACCTACGCCCTCATTGCATTCCTTTTATGCTCCTTCACATTTCTTTTAATCTCTCTCTTTTATAGTTCTTATATTTCACTCTCCTTATATCACGTTTGCTTTGTAAAACTTCTCTTAAGCTAACTTTTCCTACCTTACCACTCTCTTTACCTCTTCATTCCACCAATCGCTCCTTTTCCCTCCCGCAACCACCCTTCTATATCCACAAACTTCTTCACACTCTAACAGCTACATTCCTAAATTAACTTCATTCCTCTTCGACCTCATCACCTATACTCTCACTAGTCCATCTTTCTCCCAACAGTTGCATGTATCGTACCCTAACTACCTCTTCCTTCAATTTACAAACCTTCACATTTGTCTTACCCACTGATGACATTCGCCATGTATTCCGTCTTTCTCTTTCTTTCGCTGATCCTGCAACTAAATAATATGATATATTTCCTGTCCCTCTAAAAACATCCACTTTTCTAGGTTTTACCCATCAACTTTTCATCTACTAATGCATAGTATGACAAATTTCTCTCATTATGCCATGCATCATCTTTTGTATTACATAGTACCTATTACCAAACCACTTTTTATACAAAGTTCAATTAAAGGCCCCATTATCATTTAAACCTGACACCCAAAACCTACCTACTACGCCCTCACCAACCGTTTCTCCCACTTTAACATTTATGTCCCCACAACAGTTATTTTTTCAATTGATCCAAAACTGTAAACACTCGCTTATCTCCCCAAATTCTCTCTCTCTCTCTCTCTCTCTCTCTCTCTCTCTCTCTCTCTCTCTCTCCTCTCTCTCTCTCTCTCCTCTCTCTCTCTCTCTCTTGTCTCTCTCTCTCTCCCTCTCGCTCTGTGTCTCCTTTACACTCTAGAAATGATTTTTGCGGTTTGAGGGTTTAGACTAAATCTTTCCACGTATATAACGTAACGGATGTTAGTAAGGCTGTTTTGTTCAAGTGTAGCCCCATTTATTACGTCCCTTAATTTATCTCCCATCTGTGTTCACCCTGCATCATACTTTTCCTTTCCCTCATTTACAAGTCCCGACGATTCCTGTTTGCTCTTCCACGCTTCCGTGTGCAAAAGTTCATTTGTCTGCTGCAACTGTACGGATTGTTGTTTCTTGATCACTTGCAAGGTCTTTCTGTTGCTGTTGCAGTGTACATTAATGGTTGTAAATCCCCTGATGGTGTTAAATGTACAGCAGTTTTTTCCCTGACAAAATCATCAGAGTTCATTTACTAGACTCGGCTAGTGTTTCCATAACCAAGTTATATTCAACCCCTCATGGCTACCACGCACATTGTGTCGATATCTGCATCATCATTCATAGCGCACTACAGCTATCCACAAATTCAACCCTCTCTTACCATCGTCCTTCGCATTCAGCTTTCGTTATGACGTATTTCTTGTAAACGGAAATACATAGGTTTTGTTAAGTAACAGGACACAAGTGCAACTAATGTAACATTTTATTGTGGCAACGTTTCGCTCTCCAGGATCTTTGTCAAGCCGTTTCAAACAATACATGGACACAGAGGGTATATATAGGCTTAGAGTGAGATGGAATACTAGTGGTAGTAGTAGTAATATTATTAGTTGTAGTACCACTACTACAACTAAAAATACTACTACTACTAGTATTACACCTCACTCTAAGCCTATACATACCCTCTGTGTCCATGTGTTGTTTGTAATGGCTTGACAAAGCTCCTGGAGAGCGAAACGTTGCCACAATAAAATGTCACATTAGTTGCATATATGTCTTTTTACTTAACATATTGTCGGTAATTCTACCAGTATTAACACGTAGGTTTTTGCTTGGTCCCGGGATACGTCGATGTTTTGGGGGTAACTAAAGAGAGCAGATTTAGCCGCTCATTCAGCTGTTTAAAACCTCCCAATTTCCCAAAGGGGTATTCCTAACACGGATTGTTTCTCAGTGATCTCTTGACTAGTCTGCAATTGATAGCAACAAAGTTGGTCCGAGTTAGCTCATAACAAATTGTTTTATGTAAAACCACATTTAAGTTTCTGGCAGTCTTCCCACCGCTGTCGTGTTCAAGCGACTGCACTCTCCCGTCTGTGCATCTTCCAAATGCGCCTCCTGAAAAAAACGCCTAGTGCACTCTGCGAGGACTGTTATGTTGCACTGTCAGTTTACCACCGCCTCAACTCACCTGTGACGCAAACTCTTAGTTTGAAATTTTATCAGAAACTCAACCTATTTCACAAACTGTGACTTTACCTTTGCTCTTGCCTTCTACCTACCCCAGGAACCCTCGCATGCTTCTGCCTTTCCTCCCTCATCAGCTTACACATTCCTCCATATTATGCATATCTCTACCTACACCACTCTATGACCCTTTTGGGATTAATGCTTAAACTTATTATATTATTATTATTTTTATTAGTTATAACAGTAGTACTTGATAAATGGTTCAGAGAACAGACAAGTTGATCAACTAGACACATGTGCAACACTTGGGTATCTCTACTGTGGGAACGTTATCCACGTAGTTTCTTCATCAGTCCGATACAAAGAAGAATAGTGAAGATTAGAAGGAGTTTGATGTAATCAGTCCTTCAGCCTGGAGTCGATGTAATTAGTCCATCAATCTTGTTAAGAATACAGCATAGGGCGAAGGCGGAGTTTATATATTGCAGACAGATGAGGTGAAACAGTGAAGAGGTTGGATTTGCCCAAGGTGATACCGCCTACGACTGCTTCACCTCCTGTCTGCAGTATATAAGCCCTTCATCACGTCTATGCTGTATTATTATCAAGACTGATGGACTAATTATATCGACTCAAGGATTAGAGACTGATTACCTTAAACTCCTTCTGACCATCACTATTATTCCATGTACTAAACTGATTTATCAATAGTAGTTGTAGTAATATTTAGGATTTCCCTTGCTAATTAACTGTGCAGTTAGACTGGTATCTTCCCTCCCCACTAGTTCCTTCTTGTATAACCTGAATTACATCCCTATCGAGGGAAGAACTGAATTTAAACTATTTATTAATACTCAAAGGTATTTAATTTAATGATCCCAAGTTTCTTGCTATCTTCTTGCATTTTTACACTGAGCAAGGGAAGGTTTCTGAGAAATGCTGCGGATCCTTTTAGATTGATTAAGCCTCGTGTTGCTAGGAAAAATTTTCCTAGAACTGTTTTTGCAGTTCTTAGCCTGTTCAATAGGTTTCTAGTATGTGTTAAGAGTCTAGAATCTGCTGAAGTATATCCAAGGATGAGAGTGTGATCTTAATGACCCCACTCTCACTCTTGGATATAAGTAAAGTTTAGTATTGTTGTCTTTATCGCTGCAGTTACATGGCATGGCTTGGTGTGAGTGCGTGGTGTGAGTGCTTGGTGTGAGTGCTTGGTGTGAGTGCTTGGTGTGAGTGCTTGGTGTGAGTGCTTGGTGAGAGTGCTTGGTGAGAGAGCTTGGTGAGAGAGCTTGGTGAGAGAATGCTTGGTGAGAGTGCTTGGTGAGAGAATGCTTGGTGAGAGTGCATGGTGTGAGTGCTTGGTGTGAGTGCATGGTGTGAGTGCATGGTGTGAGTGCTTGGTGAAACAGGACCATAGATCAGTGAGAGAGAGAGAGAATGGTAGGTCGTGTGGCACATACAATAAGCAACAAATTCAACATGTCGATCTTCCTACATAGTCAGTATGTGTATTTGAATAAAAAGACTAGGCTTTACTTTGATAGTAAAAAAATATATAGAATACAAGTCTGTGCCACATAGTTAAATACAGACAGACCAGATAAAACTACAGACATCAAATTGCGTTGTATTATAGCAGTTATATTTGTTAATTATATTATTATTAGTAATTATGTATCATTATTATGAACATTCTTTCATATTTTTTTTCAGGATGCTTTGTGCCAGGCCTATCGCGTCCTCGATTTCCGTATGGGAAAAATTCGATCTGGCCTTGAAAAACAAAACTTAGCTTATGTCATGGTGCTAATGGCTGTATTGTATAATGAAGCTGACTTCTTTTCTTCTGAAGCAAACTTGCCCTGTATGAAACACGGTTTGTTCCGTGATGTTCACTTATCCTCTGAGAGAACAACCACTTTGTCCACTGAAGCTGACTTGTCTTCGGTTGAAACATTTCCTTCAAGAAAATGGAAAGAAGTATTTCTCCAAATGGCAATCATGTTGAGACAAATAGAGGAAAGACAGTTTTTAGACGATAATTGGTTGAAGGATTTGCTGTCTTGCCTGTCGCAAAAGCGTATTGAAAGAAATGACACAGTAACAGCGGCAGAGGTGAACGATGACCTTGACCTTGATGAGGAACTATTCTTTTTGCTTATAGAAGAACTGAAGAAAAAGCATCACTCGTTGAGCTCTGAAAATCACAAAAAAGACCCTGAACTTGAAGATCTTTTAAACTCTACGTTACATAGAGCTCTTCGACTGTGTTGTGAATGCGATTTACTGCTCCTGACTCATCTTTTATTTACAGTCGCAGCTGTGCCTGTTGATGAGATCATTGATCCAGTAAGTGGGTCCACTGCTTTACACATTGTAGCGTCTCATGGACGTATTGGCTTAATGGACTACTTACTAAGCCGGAATGCATCTCCTTCTGTTCTTGACCATGCAGGTCGCACTCCGGCTCACTTAGCCTACATGTTCGGTCACAGTGCTGTGGGGGACTGCCTTTGTGAAGGTTTTGAAGAGTCAAGAAGTAAAGCAGGAAATTGCCCTAAAGATTTGTTAGTAGCATTTAAGAAATACTTGAAGATGTACCATCTTGAGAAGAACATCAGGGTTCCGATGCACGAGTTAAACGATCCCCTCGCTCTAACGCGGGCACACTTACAACAGTTCAAGTGGAAGTGGAGATCAAATTTTCAACGAGCGGTAAAAAATCTTCATGTAGACTTTACTAGCGGCGAGGCTCAGGAAGTGCAGACAATACTCACAGAGGAAATAAAGAAAATTCTTAGTGATCAAGCAAGAATAAACCCTCTCTGGGAAGGTGATCTTCAGGTTTTAGGAAGCAGCGCAGACAACCTTCGATTATATGCACCAGATGAATTTGACTGTAATGTGGTTCTCAAGAAAATTAGCGGCTTTCCGGGTGGAGGCCTAAAAGTTAAGCACACGCCATTTCCACGAGAGGTGGCAGAAATGAAAGGTTATTCAACCTGCGTCTGTGTTACAGCAGTCAATGAGTCTCTCAAATCTTATATTGATGGTCCAAACATCGTGAGGTTATTTTCTAATGATTTTCTAAAGTGCTTGGAAAATTTTAAATTTTCAGACAATCGTCTGAGCTTTGTGCCTCCGGGGACAAGGAAGACTCAAGTAGGAATCAGTGTTTCCTTTGCATGGGAAGGTAGTGAGTTTCCTTTATTGCTGATCGAAGTGGACATTGTTCCTATACTGAAGATCCCATGGCCTGGCAGCCAACAGAGGCCCCCCATGACACCTCCTGATGTGGACACGCTGTATATCAGTAACACTGGTGATGGTGAGTGGCGCTACTCATTTGCTGCCATAGAAAGCAGAATCTTTCGAGCTTTACCTGGGAATCGGCGATTGGTGTTCTTGGCCTGTAAACTGCTGATAGTAACTCTGAAGGTGGTGAGCTGGGCACCACGAGACGTGAAAGAACTTTTTACATACTGGAATGGCCGAAGATTCAAAATTCCTGCTCCAGCTGGCTTCATCCTTAAGAATACCTTCCTTCAAGAGATGGAGGATGTCAAGGACAATGCTGAGTGGGACACTCAGAAACTTTACGAGAGGATGTGCTCTGTTTTCAGCAGAATGTGTATACGAGACTATGATGTCACTTCGGGAACGACTCGGTATTTCCATGGTAAGGTTCATGCTTACTTTGGAGGAAACACAGAGAAGCCGTCCATCGGCCTCGCTGCTCCAGAAATTCTTGCGTTTTTGGAATCTCTGAAAGCCTCATGATTAAATTTTTTTCTAGAAGGTTACCAAGAAACTGGAGCTACCTTTCCATTCATCAGTTTAAAACTGATTACCTCCCGGTACCCAGGAACTGCATGACCTTGTTGAATTAACATTTCCCTATGATTATAAAATTACGATCTGAATAAAGTGTTCTTAATAATATTGTGTTCATTTAGAGTTTGTGTTAGTACAATTATTAAATAAAAGAGTAATTTTATTTACATGTTTATCCTACTGTCTATGTTATATTGTTCACTTCCATCTTCTATACGGCACAACCACCTGCAGGATATTTAGCAACACTGGCCGAGCCGCTAAAGAAAGAGAAGAGCCTATTACATCACTGTCAGTTTGGTTTGAAGTACCTAGATCGAGGGAGCTAGTAAATGGAGGAACCCTCTATTGACAACTGCGCTTCCTATGGACATGACTACCTCATGTAAATTTCTAGACTGAATTAATGGGCTGTGTGGTTTTATAGTAAGTCTGTGTTGAATGGGAATTTACTCGGTACAAAGCAAAGCTCTGGAGATCTTCAGTTCAAGAAGAGTTGTCTGATACTTGGTCAAGATTTTTATTAGTTTTATAGTGAAATATTCGCAACTCGCTTTAATAAACTTAAGATTGAAAATAACACTCTGATGCAGGACAAGTTATACACTTGAAGGAGCCATAAGAATATACACAAATAACCCGCACAGAGGAGAATAAAGTTTTGGGCGACGTTTCTGTTCGACTTCGACCCTTAATTATTCACACAGTAGCGAGAAGGGTAGATTGTTCTTTGATTCGTCAGGAACTGTATCCTGTCACGGGTATTAATCCTAAGGTGGCTCGTTGAGGATTTCGAAGATACCGATCTAATTCATGCTAGCCAGAACTCCTAAATTTTTTTCACATCCAGAATGATTAATATCTAAATTATTTAGTTTATAAGTTCCATGGATATTTTCTTTTCCAAAGCTTAGAACCATGCATTTGTCTATATTAAACAACATCTGCTACTTACCGATCACTGCATCAGTCTATTCAGATCTTCTTGTAGACCACGAAATTCTCCTTTAAGGTTGAATTAGGTCTCTTATAGTAAATATCAATGCTTTCTGCACATGCAATTAATCTAAGCTCATCTATCACATTTCTTACCGCTCCTAAGGTGAAAAAAAAAGTTTCAATAGATAGCATAATGAAAATGTGTGATGGACTTATTGAATGACTAGAGCAACATGCATTCATAACAGAACAAGAAATCATGTCAGTGTATAAAATTAAAGAGACTGTTACGACGAAAACCATTGTTACTGAGCCAGATGACAATGGTAGAAACATTAAAGAAAGTCATCCAGCACAGTGCTTCCTTATCCCTAGAGAATCAGCTTCCAGGTCTCTTAATTGTTTCTGATGTTCCTCTTCAGAGTGATGTAGCCTCTCCTTCATGTTTCTCAGTCTTACCTGCAGTGTCTGGACCTAAATTTATCTTTATGTAAACTGTGATCATGTTTTGTCTTGTTTTGGTACTGTATAGTACTAGACTTTTACCCCATCCCCAAGCTGTTCCATATCATAGTCAAATATACAAATAACAAATATTCCAAAATCCGAAATCTGAAACACTTCTGGTCCCTGTATTACCCAGTCTGTTGACCATGTCACCAACACCACTAACAGGGAGAGACACCCACTGTCTCTCTCTCTCCGTTCTCTGTTACAGAAAACACGATCAATATATTTTATCTGCGAGTCACCGACCAAAAAAGGGTATTCTTAACTATATTAGCATTGGCGTTAGTGGTACCTTTATTCTCAGTGATTACTGAAGTTGTCGTAGATTTCATTATTCTATGTGAGTGTTATTTGTGTATTGCTCCAGTCATATATAATGAGTTTTTTCTTTAAATCCAGAACGAGAACATTAGAGATTTATTTATTTTTTGCAACTACCTCTACCATCTTCTCTTAGTTAAATGCAATGCTGCAGGTACCCTCATATTAAATATATAATCTGCTCGATTACACACGAACATTACCTAGGAGGCTCTCCATAACAAATTAAGCATGGATGTGGTATAGCAAAATCAACAAGACACGAATCAGACTCTCTGATCGCGAGTTCTACCCCCGCCCGTGGTATGGTTTGTTTGCAGTGTAACGAATTTGAAAAAGAAAAATATGGCTCCGCCACCAGCTTTGTTTTATTTTCGTATTTTATAGAACATTTGCAGGAACTGCACTTTAAATAATATTTTTGTTTCTCTCTGGTAGAAGCAGATTCAGTTGCAGTGATTAAAATAAAATATGACTCTTCGTCTGAAATTTTATTTCTAATTTAACGCACACTAATATATGAAATTATTGATGAATGATTTCCTGTTCTCAGAAGCTGAGTGATTTGCCCTCTAATACGAAGCTGTAAATCCTCGCAATTATTACATTAAGGTCGAAACAACTGCCCTGCAGGTTGAAACAACTGCCCTGCAGGTTGAAACAACTGCCCTGCAGGTTGAAACAACTGCCCTGCAGGTTGAAAACAACTGCCCTGCAGGTTGAAACAACTGCCCTGCAGGTTGAAACAACTGCCCTGCAGGTTGAAACAACTGCCCTGCAGGTTGAAACAACTGCCCTGCAGGTTGAAACAACTGCCCTGCAGGTTGAAAACTGCCCTATAAGTTGAAACAACTGCCCTGCAAGCTGAAACAACTGCCCTGAGGTTGAAACAACTGCCCTGCAGGTTGAAACTGCCCTATAAGTTGAAACAACTGCCCTGCAAGCTGAAACAACTGCCCTGCAGGTTGAAACAACTGCCCTGCAAGTTGAAACAACTGCCCTGCAGGTTGAAACAACTGCCCTGCAGGTTGAAACTGCCCTATAAGTTGAAACAACTGCCCTGCAAGCTGAAACAACTGCCCTGCAGGTTGAAACAACTGCCCTACAGGCTGAAATAACTGCCCTGCAAGTTGAAACAACTGCCCTGCAGGTTGAAATAACTGCCCTATAAGTTGAAACAACTGCCCTACAGGCTGAAATAACTGCCCTGCAGGTTGAAACAACTGCCCTATAAGTTGAAACAACTGCCCTGCAAGCTGAAACAACTGCCCTACACACACACCATCTATCAGCAACACGTCTACTTCCGTATTCGCTCTTCTTGATTCAGTATATTATGGAATTCATTCTGTCATATCTCTCAGAATTCCTGTATCGTTTGTAAAATAAATTAAATCATTTTGCAAACGTATATTTATTGCATTCACTTATCTGAATATAAATACCGTATTTCACGGCTTATAAGACGCGGCTTATAAGACTTGTTTTAGTGTCAGTGGCTTGACATCGGACGTAACTGGGAGAGTTACACACACCCGTCACTGACCTTCAGTTTATAAGACGCTGGCTGGTTTTTTGAGACATTTTTTATGGAAAAACTGCGTTTAATAAACCGCTATATATGGTAATATTATTTTTCTCATATGAAGTACTTATTGTATGAGTAAAGATTAATATCTACTCATACGACGAATTACGTTTGTTCCTAAAATATTTTTTTTAATCTTAAAAATAAAATATATATCTTTTACGAAGCTTTAATAATAAGTTTATTACAATATTTAAGTGATGTTTAGTGATAACAGAATTTTTTAAATTTGCCTCTATTTAAAGTAATATTTTTTGCTAGAATTTTAACAAAAAAATTGCGATATGTTTGTTTTATACGTGAATTTTAACATGTTTAACCAAAGTTGATTTACATGAAAAACCTTTTAGACACTTAGAACAATGAAATAACTTTTTTCTAGCATGAATATTTACATGTTTTGTTAGATTAGATTTGAAAGAAAAAGTTTTGAGACACTCGGCACATTGATACGGTTTCTCTCCCGTATGAATCCTTATATGTTGTATTAAACTATACTTCTGTGAGAATTGTTTAAAACACTCGATGCATTTATAAGGTTTCTCTCCCGTGTGAACTCGTACGTGTTTTACAAGATCAAATTTCATTTTAAACTTTTTGAGACAGACATCACACTTGTGGTTTTTTTCTCCAGAATGAATTTTTGCATGAGTCGTGAGTGTGCATTTAAGCAAGAAGCACTTTGAACAAATTGAACACTGATATGGTTTCTCCCCTTTATGAACTCTCAAATGTTGTACCAGATTAGCTTTCTGGGAAAATTTCCTCAGACATTCAGAACACTGATATGGTTTCTCCCCCGTATGAACTCTCAGGTGTTTTATCAGAATAGATTTTTGTGTGAAGTTCTTCTGACACACTTCACAGTGGAATGGTTTCTCCCCAGAGTGAACTTTTAAATGCTGGGTTAGATGTGATTTGTGTGAAAAGAATTTTAAACATTGTTGACATTGAAAGGGTTTCTCTCCTGTATGTATCTTAATATGTTTAACTAGATCAGATTTTTGTGAAAAGTGCTTTAAGCATTCTGCGCACCGGTATGGTTTCTCTCCTGAGTGTATTCTTTCATGTCTCATTAGATCTGATCTGCGTTTAAAATCTTTCAGACATTCAAAACACTGATAAGATTTATCTTTTCTCTGAAATCTGACAGGCTCTACTTTTCCAGATTTTTTGGAGAACATATTTTACGCTCTCAGTTCACTGATTTTTGTATATCTTCTAAATGAACTTTCACACATTCTGCTACATAATGTTTCGAAATATGATTTTTTTCAACTTATTTAACACACGGAATATTTTTCACACAAACTAATGTATTTTAATAGATATGAAATCGAAAATGTTTAAATGTTTAATGTTTATGCCCTGAACATATTTTCATAAGTTTTAATAAATAAAATTATTGGATGAATTTCAAAATAACTAAGTTATTCAGTAGCTCACACCACACATTTTTTTAATGAAAATCAGACTAATCTAGGAAATGGCCAACTTTGACAAAACTCAAAACCATTTTAACTCACTCTTGAGAAGTTGGAAATGTTGTAAAAGATATTTTTTTTGTATTTATTCAGAAAATACATTTGTTGTATTGTTGACACCAAAACATTCTTTACCAAACTCAAATTTGATATTATATTTGTATATGAGCATTTGAGTCCCATAATACCAGCTTAGAATGAAGGGTGATGGCACTGTAGTCTTGAGTCTCTCAGTGGCACTGTAGTCTTGTGTCTCTCAGTGGCACTGTAGTCTTGTGTCTCTCAGTGGCACTGTAGTATTGTGTCTCTCAGTGGCACTGT